TGTTACAAGCCCTTCAGTCCCTGTAAAGTTGGTAAACGACAAGAGGCAACCTTGAGGAAAGCTAGACACATTTCCCAGCGGAGATCTGCATAGAAAGCGTCCGCGTGAATGTCTGATGAGGGTTTATGATAGCAGCCTTGTCTTAAAGTGCAAATATTTATCAAGACAAACACGGACTAAGGTTCAAAAGAAAAGGCATTTCTGTTATCCCTCGATAAGTCACAGTTTTCCAATTTTCTAAAGCTCTCGGTTTTATAGACGAGGATCAGGACGCAGCAAGGAAATGTCACGATATGTTTATCTGAAAAACTGGAACTTTCAATTCGCTGGCGTCTCAGCGTGACCGACACCATTAGTTTCTTTCCTTCATTTCATCCCACTGAAAACCTCGTCTTTGATTCTTTACCAGAAAGCCAGACTGCGTTTAAGAGACGAGGCAGACCTTAAATTAAATTATGGAGTGATGTAAACTCAAACAGAGCATTATATTGGCTTGTGTTACTTATGTTCAGAAATTACATGAAAAGGTAGCATTCGTCACGCTACATGCTAATTACAGAATAGTAGTGGGTACGAAAGAAACTTTTAAGAAGAAACTTGTGCATTTAGTGTTCCATGTTGCTCTGATAAACAGATAGTGGCCATTAAAGGACAGGAAACCTGGCAGAGACAGATAAAGCATCTCACTTTCTCTCTCTACATGCCCCTTTCCCTCTCTCTCTGTTCAGTTGATTATCTCAAAGCTGGTTCTGTCTTTCTCCTAATCTGTCTTCCTCTCTGTCTCTGTCACCTGCTCTTTCTAGACACGAGTTGTTGGAAGAAGCCAGAAGAAAAGGGTTACCTTTTGCTCAGTGGGACGGTCCTACAGTTGTCGCGTGGTTGGAGGTGGGCAGTACTCATTTTTTTGCAATGAAAATGTTTTTTATATATATATATAAATCTTATATATGCAAGATATATGTGAAAAGTGGGCAAGACACTCAGAACATATCAACTTGGCTAATGAATACTATGCGAGTAATGACGTCCAATTACATCCATTTTCTAAAAGGCAGGTATTGGTTAGAAGTGCTGGGTAGATTTCTTATTGTAATCCGTTACCAGGGGTGTGAAGTAACGAATTACAAATACTCAAGTTACAGTAATTAAGTAGTTTTTATCAGTAATTGGTACTTTGAGTAGTTTAAAAGTTGTGTACTTTTACTTTTACTCGAGTACATTTTAAGTGATGTGTATATATATATATATATATATATATATATATATATAT